ATTTTGCGTTGTATTTTTTAGTTCAATGCAAAATATTCAAAAGCACTTTTAAAATTATGCGAAATTTCAAAGGAAAAGTAAAGCATATTTAGTAAAATATGTGCTAAATTTAAATTAATTAATAAATAAATAAACCCACTTAACATGTTTATTTTGAGAAGTCAATTCTTAGTCTGAAACAATCAAAAATTTAGATTTTTTGTGTTATATTTTTTAGCGAAATATAAATAAACTTATTTTATGCATTCAAATTTAGTACAATCGTATTTCAGACATACATGCCTACTAATTTTTTTTTATTTAAAATATTAATTTTTGCATGCGTCAAGTGAAAAACAAAATGGTAAACTTGCAATAATAAATGCGAAAAATTAATTTTGAATAAAATTTGGGAAAAAGGTCTACATAATATATTGAACATTTAATACTTGTTGACACTGATTGAATAAAAAAGGGGTCCGAAAAATGCATGCCTACTCTTATGTCAAATATTCCTCCAAGAGTTTTGTTTTATTTTTAGAATCGCTTATTAGAAGACATTCAAATAAGAAAAAATAGAACTGGGTGATTTATCGAAGCATCGTTAAATATTGTTTTTAGTGTCGTTGAAATGGTATTTTTAAAATAATTCTCACGATGTATCATAAACTTATTTTGCACTATTAATTATACGATAATTATCGATAACTATATTATAGAGATCATTATAAACACCAATAATATTGAATGCGATATTGTTGAAAGTACTATCGATACTTATAATTAACAGATATGTTAATATCGTGAGTCAAATTTGATAAATATCGTGATATACATCAACGATGTATACGGATATTACCATTTCGTTAGCACCCAGCAATATTTTAATCATAATGCTGTGCAAGTTGCGATCTATATCTAATCAAGAGGTAAATCAGTTTGGAAAATCTTTTTTAAAGCAAAGCTAATTGAAATGAACTTCGGTAGGAGAAATTTAAAAGTGTACGAAAAAGTTATTAATTTTATGATAATCATAATTTTATGAAATATAAAATCACAAAAATCTCTGCAAGCACGATTTTTTTCAACTAATTTGTCAGTCAATAATCCAGTTTTATATCCAAATCAGATAAAAGCATGCTGTGCAACATGAAGCACCATTTATAAAACTAATTTTCGCTATCTATCAGCAATCCAATTTTACAACCAAATCAGATGAAGACGTGTTGTGTAACATAAAACAGCAATTATAAAACTAGTCATCACAATCCAGTTTTATATCCAAACCAGCTGAAGACGTGTTGTGTAACCTAAAATATCATTTATGAAACTAGTCGTTACTGTCACACAACTGTTACATTTTATATACAAATCAGATAAAGATGTGCTATGTCATAAGAAACAGCATTTATGAAACTAGTCTTCACTGTCACTCAACAATCCAATTTTACATCCAAATCAGATTAAAACGTGTGATGTAACATAAATCATCAGTTATAAAACTAGTTTCCACTTGAAAATTTAATGTCTCACTTGTTCTAAACTGTCATTTAGATTTTCATCTTCAACAAATTGAGATATCAAATAGAACAAAAGCAGTTACTGAAGTCAGCGAGCCGCGAAAGATAGGAATACACAAATTGATTCAGTTATTGTTCCAGTTAATAAATAAAAAAAATCATACCGCTTTTCTCTACATTTTTTGAATTTATTATTGTTTCTGTCCTGGCAATGATTCATGTAGAATCAGATTTTTTACCACTCATGAAGCAATTTAGTTTGATCAAATTTTATTAGATTATTTATATTAATCATATGATTTAATTTCCTTATTTGTATTTGTTTTCGACTTACTTTATTTTTTCGCTCTCTATTTGACGTTATATCTTTATTCTTTTGCTTGTATTTTACGCTATAATATTTAAAAATGTTTTTTTTTATATCAAGTTCAACTAATATTAATTTGAGTAATCAATTGCATTAAATATTACTAGGACGCAAATATTTTCTTCTTCTTTTGCATGATTTTTTTTGTTAACATAGATAGTTTTATATCGCTGAATTCAAATCTGCAATCGGTATGTATCTCCAATAAGAATGGCATTTTTAGTCTAATTTTGACGAATTGTACAAGTTTAAAAACGTTATATGTAACAAAAGGGTCACATAAATGTTCCGATAAACTTGTAGGAGAGTTAGGACACATTACCAGGATTAAAATTGCATTGAAATCTAAGCTCGGAAATGTTGTCATACTTTGCTTGATTTGTTTCCCGATTACATGTAGTCTCTTTACGTGATTCTCAACAAGTCTTTATAGGGAAAGCGCACCTAGCCACGTATGACGACATATGCGGGAATGGGTTCTTATGCAGTTTTAATTCTGGTGATGTGTTTTTGTCGCAACATTTATAGCATCCGTTGTTGTATATGACGTTCTTAAATTTGTACATTTTGATAAAAAATAGACTTAAAATGTCATTTAAAAAATATATAGCTTTAGGAGCAAAATAAATTTCAGATTTGTAGTTCACACCCCCGAATTAGGCAAGATCGAGTGTTTGCATAAATGAAGCAAAAAATTTATTTGTTCTCCATTGTTTTTAATGAATATCTATATTATTTAATTAAGACGCTAGTATACATGTATATTGTCATGAAACCGATTTTTTTCTGGTTTCTGGTTTTGGCAAAGAAAAGTTGAAATAAACTGAGCTATAAGTTGGAAAAAAAATGAAAGGATAAAAGTGATCAATTCCTGTAAACAAACTGTTTTATATTTTTTGTTTTTAAAATGCTTATGAATTTACGCAGGTAGCATACTCATTTAGATTGTTTTAGCTTTAATAGTTGCTTATAAGAAAATACAGGGTGCTGATGACCTTTGAATTCTTTAAGCAAAATGCCCTTAAAAACACGAAAAAATCTCTAAAAACCATCAAATACGACATTTAATTGAAAGATAGTGTTCTTTAAAATGCTAGAAACATATTTCAAAATTGACCTTTTTTTTAAAAAAAATATAAAACGTAACCTGCACTTATAAGATTAATACAAAATAATACAAAAATTAAAATAAATGAGAAATTTATTAATAAAATAAATGCCAATGAATAACTGATAAAGATCAATAAGAGTTTTATAATTTTTAGTTGAAATCTTCAAGAACATGAGAGTTACAGAATATTATTAAATATTTTTAATAATCTTAAAACTGAAAGTTAATAATTTTTTAAAAATCATAAAACTGAAAGATTGCCAGAAAGCAAATTCTTATCTCTATAAAAACACTGTTCAACATCAGCACCTGTTATTGTAGGAAATTTAAAAAAAAATGCGATTCAATTATTAATTTACACTAATTTATAAAGAAAACAAAATTGGTTAATAAGTTAAATGATCTTAAAGTGAAAAATATTCAAAATTAATGAAAAAAAATTGTTACAGAAAGGACAAAAATCTAAAACATGAAAAAATGATTCAAGGAACCATTGAAAATGCCTCATAAAAAACAATAAAATATGTAAAAAGAAAAAAACTGTTTTTATCATCAGCAAGCCCCATCATCAAGTCTCATCATCAACAAGTCATTCACCATCAATCACCCCAAAGGAGCGATGCATCATTTTATCAATGGACATAGGCTAAAAAGCGATGCCACTTGATGCAACCTAAATATTTTGTCTTAGCCTTGATATACTACTTCTATTTTACCTTCTTTGATGCTATATTTTTTTCTCATCTTTTTCTTTGTTTTTTTTAAATTCTTATTTATTTATTTTGTTTATATTTTACAAGTTTTCTGATAAAAGGGATCTACAACTATTGTTTCCAAGCACTGAAATTAGTATTTTCGTATAAAGAGAATAATTTTAATAATGAATTAATCTTAGTATTTACGATAATTCCCGAAAGGAATATCTGAAACCTTTTAAATTAAAAAATGAAATTAAGCAATACATAAAGGATAGCAAAGTTGATAATAGGCAATTTATATTAAGCATTCTTAAATATTTAGAACAATGATCAATTCGCAAAGCCCTAAAATAAAACTTTTATGAGTAAAGTGAAAAAAATCTATGGATTTTCTTATTACGAAAAGTTTTTAAAAAAAAGAAATAAGAGAAAAAGAAATAAGTAAGGATTATGGAAAGTATTTCTAATAGAGAAAAAAGTAATTAAAATTTTTTTTACATCTTTTTGTACTTTTTTATTTACTTATAACAAAAAATATTCTACTCTTTTACTAATGCGATAAAAAATACTATGATAATTTAATTGAATAACTTTCAGTTTTGATTGAACAATATGGTTAAAGAAATAAAAAGGATTACGACAGAATTAGCGAGGGCTTACGCAAAAATTATTTAATATAATTATAGAAAATGGATAACGAACCTCTATATATGTAATTTGAAACTAATTCAAAATAATTTTTTATATTGCTATAAAAAAAACATACTTTGCATACAAACTATTTTTAAAAAAATATGAACTTTTTAAACATGCCTTTTTACTAAAAACTCTATTTTTTTATTTATAAGAAAAAGGCTTAACGCCATTAGCAATTTTTAATCGTTTTATTTTGTAACCGTAGTTGAACAGCCGACCCAATTTGGGGTTTACGACTACCAGTATTCAACTCTATAACCTTGCAATTTTGAACCCGATCCAGAAGACAAGGGAACACCTTGATCACGCAATGGGAGAAATTTGCCTTCGTGGAGGATTTTTTAATGGAACTAACCCGCATTTGCGTTACACGGAGAGGAAAACCACAAAAACCTTCCATGGTTAGCCTGACTGCAAGGGGACTCTAACCCATGATCCGTCTAATACTGAGGATATTTTGCACCAACACTATGGTCAGTGCGAGTCAGGTGCGGAATTCGTTTCGACCAGCCATCGTTGGCATTCGAACCCGGTTCACCTTATTGCGAGCCCAACACTCTATCTCCTGAGCTATCACAGCTCGTTTATATAGTCATTAATGCAAATGACTTATTTATTTATTTTTCTAGAAAACTGGAGGACAATTTAAACTGCATGGTTCTTCAAATCATCAAATGTCCAACCCCGAATAAGAGCGGAGAACTCATCAACAGGGCGTGGAAATTCATGCAGGACAACTGTGATTCTTTTGGAGGTGAGTAGCCACAATTCTCCGTCATAATGACCAATTCTTGGTTCTTTTCTTTCGGAAGATTCTGATTTATTATATGTATCCATCAGCCGACAATTGTTTCCAGCTACTTATAAGAGACCCGAATGTCTTTGTACTTCCGGAGATAAATATAAAGTTCTGTTGTTCTGTCAAATAAAATATTATTTACGGCGTAAACAGCACGTTATTGTGTCAGTATATTGTAAAATCGTGGAAGAAAAGCATGCTTTTTGATAGTAAGCAAAAATAAATAAATGATTCATGCATGAAAAAAACGGCAGTAATTCTTAAAACTTCAATTTTTGAAGCAATTTTGCTTAAGTGCCTATTGAAAAGATTGTAACAGTTGGGAATACAAACAAAAAATAAAGTTTAATTGATTACTTGAAGTAAATAAAATAAGCTGCAAAATAAGTGCAATCTTAGTTTTGAAAGGTAAATCTACTTCAAAGTTTTAAAAAAATTTTATGCAATTTTTAAATGCCTAATTAAAAATAAATTTAAAAACGCATCCAGAAATAAATGCAGTGGTTCGGAACTAACAGTTTGGGGTGATTTTATTAAAGTGTCAGATTTGTAAATTGAACTGATTGTAACAGTTTAGGAAAAGAGAGGTAAAACTAATTGCAAAATCGAAATAAATTATGTGTTTTGGAGAAATACATGTTCAATCTGAATTTTTTGAAATAAGTCTTACTTTGAATTTTATTTTATAGTGATCATTAGAATAAAAAAATTTATATAAAGCCAAATATATTAAAAATAATAATAATTAAGAAAAAACTTTAAAATAATGTTGTGATTTGCTATAAAAGTTAATAATGCCTAATTTGTTGTGTTCAATGCAATGGCAGGGCCTCTATGTTCATAATTGCAAACAAAAACTCATTTATTTACGTACAAACCTTTTTAATGAACTCAACATAAGCTCCTCCAAAAGTTAGGAAAAAGATAAAATTCGGAAAAAGTGTTATCTATAATGGTCAAGAACTCGATTGCTTTTTTTTTGTTTTTTCACTTCCATATAAAGAAATTTCCTATAAACTCAATGATTTGTTCACCTGTTGTGATTGGTAGTACGTGAATTTCGATTTCTTTAATAATTTTAATTATTTTAAATGGAAAAAATCGTTAAAAATAAAATTAAAAAATGTACTTACACTGTCCCCAGTTTATATTAAATCTTGGAAGAAACAAAAAATTCTATCAAAATCCCTAAAGTCACTAGTGTGGAAATCATAATGTAAACGTAAAAACCAGTTTGATTGTCAATGAAACTTAGAGGAGTTTCTAAAATCAACTTTCGACAACTCGATGCTTCCTCTTGCAATTAAACAGGTTTTGACGTTTTCCATTTTGCCTCCTCAATAGTAAAGTTTAAATAGCATTTTTGTTTCCTTCTTGCTTAAATACTAATTGGCAACCCTTATGGTGTGCACTTTGTAGACTTTAGTTTTTATAAAAGCCGACCAGACTATGGGGGTCAGAGAGCAGACCTTATGTTAGGACGATCCCGGGCTCGAATCCCTGTTGGAGGCATGGATGTTCTTACCTTTTTATTTGTTCTATCTGTTCTTATTGTGTATAACGTTGACACTTTTAATATGAACCCCCTGAAAGAGTGGTCAACACATCTGCATTTTTGATACCCGAATGACGAAATGACAACACATGGGTAATTGTTGGAGAATAACAGTTTTTATGAAGATTCTAAAACACATATTAAAGCGCAACTATTATAAAACACCATGCATGTATGATATTTATTGTGCTCATTTTTTGGAGTTAACTATTAAATGCTTTGTTTAAGGATATTCTTTCCTTTTAACATTTTAAATGCACTTTGCAGGTTGGTGGAGTTATGATTGCTTTCATTTGGAAGACATGAAGAAATGCGAAAAAATATTTGCATTGAGGGATGCGCCAACTTCTCAAGCTTCTTGCCGGTAAGTGTGGGCTGATGCAGTCTCTGAAAATTTGGTTTAAAGTATTGAAACATAATAGCTGTATTTTGCACCATAATACGATACCAAATCACTGCAACCTTAATTGGGTATTAGGCTGAATCATTTATTCCGTTGAAATTGAAACTTAATAATGTATAGAGAAGTAATATAAAATAAGTATATACTGTTAGAAATTTCTCGGAAAAAATGGCTAAATAACAATCTATTTAATTGTTATTTTATCATATTTAAACGAAACAGTTAAATAACCATCATTAAGATTATGATGAAAATATTAACAGTGAGAAAAATCGTTTATTAACTATTTTTACCTAAAATGGTTAAATAACAATAATTTTTGTACTAACAAAGCTCACCTAATGAAGCAGCTTAGTTCTTTGCAACTGCGTACATATTATAGCCAAGAGAGCTAATCTGTCAATCTCATGACCGACAGAACGGGGGTTTGAATCTCAGAGTTGACACCTCTATTCCCCTTAACCCTCATGAAGAATGTCCAATGTCCTGCTCACTCTAATGCTCCTTACTTAACTAAAAGCCTAGCTCCTATGTCCAGTTAAATTACTTTTTTTACGGTTTTGAAACCAAAATAGCTGTAAATAGTTAAAAACTCGTATAGTTTTGTATTCATGACTTAATAACCATACTAGTTGCAAATGGTTTCAAAACCGTAAAAATGGAAAATATTCTTTAATAAGATAATGCTAATAAGGTTAATAAGATGGACAGACAACTGCCCGTTATTTTGCCATAATTTTAGAATCAAAATTCGAACAGAATCAAAATTCGACCAGAATTCGAACAGAATTTTAGAATCAAAATTCGAATTTAGTTCAAAAATATAGTAATAGTATGCACCATATTATAGTTGCACAAATTTGAACCATATTATATTCGACGCTTTTAAGAGTGAACATTATAGACGTTAGATTCCGATACCTTTTGGGGCACGCTTGAAGAACGCTTCTACTTTTCTTATAGAACTTTAATTCAAATTTGAAGAAATATCTTTCTACAATTACCGCCTCTCTGTAAACATATCCTTTGTTGATATGGATGTAAGTTACCGTGTCGTTATCTTAATTTTTTGACAAGTAAGTTACATTGGGGAACAAATTGTTTCTTGCATTTATATAAATTTTTGATCTTACCTAATTCGGGTATGGGGATTTCAAGTATAGCATTAGTTTTGCTTTAAAAGGTACAACCGATTTTTTTTCGTATAGCTTAGTCTTTTAGTCTATTTCTTTTAGTCTATTTTTTGTCGAAATGTACAAGTTTAAAATGTTGTCGCACGTTGCTAGGGGCACTTTCCTATTATGACTTGTTCTGAAGCATATGAGAAAACGGTTCATAATAGTGAAGCAGCCCTAGCAGCATATGAGGGCGTTTCCGGGCATAGGTTCCCTTGCCATTTTATACATGATGATCTGCTTTAATGTTTCTAGAAGTTTTTCGTATCACTTATGCAACCCTCTGTCATATATAGCGTTTCTAAACTTATTAATGATATTTTTTTTATTATATTATTAAGCTAGGGGCTAAGCTCTCTGTTTGCTGCCGCCCACCAACCCCGGTGATTGTTTTGCAATAATTGCTATTTCTTTGCATGAAACAGTTTTCTTTTTTACGAAAATTTAAATTATTAACTTTAAATATATGTACAGTGTGTCAAAAAATAGACCAATCTGAATTACTTTTGATCTAATGATTGGATTTTCACGTTCTAGAACTCAATCTTAATGGCTCAAGGGGGTGACCTCATATATTCTAGTTAATAAGTGAGGACGATATTTCAAGGTACGAAATCAGACACAAAAGCTTAGATTCTCTGAATAAACATACCTTTTTTATTTAAACGGATTTGGATTTCCGACCCCTAATCTATCCATAGAATTCCATGCGAAAAATATTCCTTTTTTTTTTATTATTTTATTTAAGAATGGTCAAAAAAACTTTTGAATTGTAAGGTATACAGCTTTCAGCATTACTTAAACGAATGTAATTTTACATAGCAAAATACAAAATTTAAGCAAAAACGGTTGAATAGTTTCAGAGAATCAAAAACATTATAATAGCTGTACAGGTAAATACCTTAGGTATACAAAAATATTTATCGAAATGCAATAATTTTATGACTTTTATTAATTTTATGGAAACCAAAACCATGCACATATCACTGTGGGAAGACTGGATCCTACCATGTGATTCTGTGGCCAAAATAAATGCATCGACAACAATAGAAAACAGTGTTAGATCATCATGCTATTATATTATTAAATATAACAAGAAACTGTATAATATCTCCCACTGTTAACGTAAATATATAGTGGCAGCGTAACTTTCGCTTGTCGTTTACTTTTTTATTATTATAATTTTCTTATTCTTATTTACGTGATTCACAACAAATTAAATACAATAATTTTATGACTTTTATTAATTTTATGTTTATAACAACCAAAACAATGTAAATATAAATGCGGGAGGACTGGATCCTGCCTCGTGATTTTGTGGCCAATAAAAAAGCATCGACAACAATGAAAAACTTTGGGAGGAAGATACTTTTTTTGAATTATTACTTTTGCCAATCCCAGTTGCTTACATAATTACAAAGAAGCATTTCTTTTTATTTGGTTATTATAAATAGCTAGGTATTTGTTAATTTTATCTGTGGAATTATGGTGTATGAGGTAAATGTGGTTTCAATGACGCAAGCTCATTTTTAGACACCTAACACCACAAGCATAAATCATTTCATTTCAACCTTGCTAAGGTAAACATTGTTGATAGGGTAATATTTTGCCAATCCCAGTTGCTTACATAATTACCAAAAGTAGTGCTCTTTGTTTGGTAATTATAGGTAAATTAATCATCTTATTTCAGCGTTGCTATGGTAATTATTGTTGATAGGGTAATATTTTTGTTGCTGATTATCTAAATTGGGCATACTATAGCATACGTACAGATCGTGTTATTCCTACTAAATTTAACTAGTAAACAGCATTTTCTGCGAACCTGATTTCTAGCAACAAGTAAAAGCATCAAATGAAGTGTCTTGTTATAAGTCGCTACTCGCCAGGTTGGAATTGTATTAGTCTAGTTCCTTTGGAAATAATTTATATTGTTGTTTTACCGAAGTTTATGAATTTAGTAAGCATATTTAAAACTCAGTTTATTAATTAAACTAAAAGGTAAATGTTATTCCTAGTAAGTGGAAGTAGTTGTGCTTTTTTCATATTATACCCAATTGGGTATAATATAGCCTACGTCACAGGTTGTGTTGTTCCTACTAAATTTAACCCATGAACGGCATTTTCTGCGAGCCTAACTTCAAGCCACAAATAAACAAACGAAGTGTTCGATCGTTTAAATAGCTGCTCGCCAGATTTTATTGCATTATAAAGAAAAGTTATTGAAACTAAATACAACTAAATAAACAACAACAACTAAAACAAATAACAACAACTACTAATAACAATAACTAAATAAACAACAACTAAATTCCATTCGTTTAGCATTGCGTCATATGTTGTTCCTACTAAATCGAAGTAGTTGTGTTTTTTTCATATTATACCCAATTCAGCTTTTTTTGAGCCATGGTTCATTATCTTAATTATATTCACTTTTAATTTTCTTTGTGAGAAGAAAACATGCAGAAAAAATTAGTGTAAGGAGTTTTTCCGCTTTTTCTAGCATGTCATTATTATACTTATGCAGTTTTTTTCCTTGTATTTTTAAATGTATTATTATGTATTTTTCCAGGGAATACGATCGTTTTCGCCACTGTACAAGCGATGTTATTAAAAAACAATGCGATTCTGAGGACATTCATTCAATGGGCAACTACTTACTTGACAGTGCGGGAGACATGATTTGGACCTGTCCTCCTCAGCCTGATCCCATCAAATCTCCCATGGTGGACAAAGGTTTTGTGGGAGTGCTGCCCACACTAGCAGTACCAGCTATAGCTGAAGAGTCTCATTTGAGATCTGTGTACAGTTCTGCCCTCACTGGAGAATCTCCGTTCGTTAGCGGTAATAATTTCTGATGCATGCACTCTTTTGTTTCAAAATTTATCAAATTTTTTAAAATTATTGGTATTAACATTTTTATAAAAGGCTTGTCAATTAACAAAATCGTTGTCTTTAAAAGTATTGATTCGTTGATGATTGGAGTTCACACTTTATCAGGCATTTTCTCGATTTGTGGAAATAGGAAACCTTCTTTGCTAATGAAGAAAGTAGTAATCATTCAGATTTTTGCTCTAAATGTTGAGAAAGTAGACTTTTTAATCATCTTTCATTATTGATGAAAGTCGTAGCCAGTGGCGTACGCAGAAGTTTTTCAAGGGGGGGGGTTCATAATTTTCAGAAATTACTAAAAGAAATTCGAGTATGCAATAAAGCACTATTACTTCCCTAATTAAGACAGCTAGACAATTTTGACTTTTTATTTCGACAACATTGTTTAGTTAAATTTTGTTTAAGAATATAATTTTTTTATAATAAGAGGTAAAATATTTTATTTTTATTAAAAAGTAGAAATAAATCAAGCCAGAAAAAACTACTCATACTGTAACAGCTACCTAAATAATAACCATATAAATGTGAATATTCCATAGAAAACCAATGAATTTAACTAAAAAATGACTTACCAATAAATAGGGAATTAAACCAGTATACAAACACGCTAAAAATTTATTGATTTATACTGTAATATCCAAACGGCGGGGTGTTTTTGCAAGTTCGTTTAAAATGTCTTCGACAGTTGGGGTAAATTCTCTATGAAGAGCGCCAATTCATTCATTCTATTATTTCCCGTTGAGTTGCGTAAATAAGTCTTCAAACGGCGCAAAGTCGAAAAGGATCTTTCGTTTGCACTCGTTGAAACAGGTAGAACGACCAACATTTCTAGGAGTTTGAAAATGTTTGGTGTTATATCTTTATTGCACACTCCAAGAGCATCCGCCGCAGTTTTTGGAACACTACCTCCGTCTTCACTAATCCTTTTTAATCTTTTATACCAGAGTTTTAGTTCAGACTTAAGGCTTTCTTTACAGGTATCCAAATCTCCAGCGTAAAATTCCACTAATGCTTCAAAAGCCTTTATGTTTGAAGGTTGGCAAATGAAAGGATCGGCAGGTAGAAGACACTGAAATCCTTTCAAAATATCACGATGCGATACAAATCTTAAGTTTAATTGTGTTATAAAATTTTCTATAAATGGAATAAAAACACTAACTCTGAAATATGTTTCCGGTGTCGATGAGGGAAAATTATCGCGATTTTTCTGTCTTCCTGTTATTCTAGGGATTTGCATGGAAGTGGAAGATCCAATGCTTGTTAGCATAAGAGAAGAAGAGCTGAATATTTCAGAGAATGTTTCAGTGGCATTTTCACGCATTAATTTTAGATCTTTAATGACATCTTCTGCAAGACTCACTGCCTCTATCAAATCTATGCTTGTTTTTTGTAGGTATCTACAGAGATGGATTGTTATGGTGAAAACTTTGTAAATGCACAAAAGAGATATTACGAACTGGCAATTAGATACTGTGCACAGTAAAGAATTAGCCTGGGTAGCTGATTCCTTATCCTTCCATTCTGATATTTTTTGTAGTGTTTCGGCGATAGGCTCGAAAAGTTCCACCACAGCGGTTACTGAGTCGTATCTTTCCATCCAACGGGTTGCACATAGCTGTTTAATTTTCTCCCTCTTAGAGCTGGTTTCCATCTCCTCTATTGCTGAAGATAGGACATACTGTCTTTTTGGCGTATTTAAAAAGTCGTATAATGTTTTAATTGTCCCTAAGCAATTTCTAATGCCAGTTATTTCGCATGCATTTGATACAGCCAAATTGAGGCTATGAGCAGAGCAATGTACATAGAGTGCTGATGGGACAATACTTCTTACGTGGGCTTGTACACCATTAATTTTTCCACTCATTGATGCAGCACCATCGTACCCCTGTCCACGTAACTTTTTTATATCAACTTTCATAGACTGTAATTGGTCTAATATTGTTGTTGCTATTGCTTTTCCGGTTAAGTCATGCACCGGAATGAATTGCAAAAACTGTTCGGTGATGTTAAAATTTTCTTTATCGACATATCGAACGCATAACGATAATTGCTCTATACCTGCAATATCAGTTGTTTCATCTGCAAGAATGGAAAAGCAAGTTGCATCATTAATCTTGCTGACTAGTTTTTGCAGGATTAAAATATTGCAAACCTCAATAACTTCGTTCTGAAATCGAGGGCTGGTATACTGAGCATTTTTTCTGCTTGACTCTAAAATGTTCTTAAGAGTCGAATCGTTCTTACTCCGGAAACGAAGCAATGCCCGAAAATTTCCGTCGTTCTCTTCACCTGGTTGTTCAGCAATTATTCCCGAATCCTTATGTCCTCTTAGAGCGAGACCTTGATTTCCACAAAATAGGATGGTTTCAATGATTGGAGTAATGTTTTTTCTATTTTCTAATTTTCTTCTGCTTGCTGCACTGTCAACTTGTTCATCCACAGGTTTCATCTTTCCAAATAAAATATCGTTTAATGTCCCAGCAGTTTCGATCGATTTTTTGTGATAAAGACATTTCTCGTGTTCAGAAAATCGCTCTACAGCATTTTTCCAGTTGTCAAATTTTACATTGCACAGTTGGCCTAAAGGTTGCTTTCCAGAACCGGCACCACTTGGGGCGAAAAGTACACAAAATTTGCAAAAAGCACCACCCTTAACCTCTGAATATGCAAGCCATTTCCAGCGATAAAGCCATTTGTACTGAAATTTCAATTTTCTTTTTCCTTTTTCAGGAAAAACAAATGCTGGATTGGGTTCCCAAACATTTTTAAGTATATCCAGTTTTTTATCCTCGCATGTATTATCTTCTGAAAAAAGTCCAATGTCATATGGGTGGGAAGTAACACTTTGAGGGCCGCTTTCACATTCATCAGATTCTGTTACGCTAGAAACGTTTTCTTCAACGGAAGTATCACATTTCTGTTCAACAGAAAAACTTACATTGGTACTAGATGCTGTCACCTCACTAATTTCAGGTCGTGATTTTTTCTCAAAGTAATTAAAAATTGTTAAATTCTTGCGTTTAGACATCCTAAAGATCCAAGAACAGCAAAAATATATACATATATATTGGCACAGAAATATCCACTAAGCTACGATCTCAAAGTTTCGAGCTGGAATGAATAACTTCAACGAGCACAGAGTCTCCAAAACAAAACAGATTTAGAAACAAGCTCCGAAGGACAAGCGGCAGAGATAACTCTTAGTCTGACTAAAATCGAAAATAAATGTAACCCCCTTTCATATAATTTTTTTTAACCGCATCTACAAAATTCTCGAATTGTCTCAAAGACGACAGAACGTCTAGGATTCCAGACCTCGCGAATGCCAGCCAGTCTCGAAAACTATCGCGACTGGCAGGTCAGAAAGGAACCAGTGATCGGGGCTCGCCCGTAACAGTATCACGTGAATTTGGTTTCAAAAATACAACCCTATTATAGTAAATGTTTTATCAGTATTCTGAGAAATACCGTGAGAAAAAAAAAGTAGGCATAAGGCAAATAAAAATATATAGTCTTAAAAAATAATAACCCGCATAATTTCTACTAAAATTTTTATTTTTGTCTGTATTATTTTGTAAATTCACTTTGTCTGAGCTCAAGGGGGGGGGGTTTAAACCCCTAAACCCCCCCCCTTGCGTACGCCCCTGGTCGTAGCCATTCAGATTTTTGCTCTGAATATTGAAAAATGAGACTTTTTATTCATCATTCGTTAATGATGAAAGTCGTAGCTATTCAGACTTTTACTCTGAATGTTGAGAAATTAGACTTTTTATACCTCTATCGTTTATGGTGAAAGTCGTAGCTATTCAGAGTTTTGCTCTGAATGTTGAGAATTGAGACTTTTTATTCCTCTTTCGTTAATGATGAAAGTTGTAGCTATTCAGAGTTTTGCTCAGTATCTCGTAAAGAATGATATAATCAGTCTTCTTTCGTTGATGATAAAAATCAGATCTTCTTCAACATTTAGTCAGAATGATGAAAAATTACCCTTTTTATAAATATTTTTATAATTAATTGATTAGATGCTTCTACCTATCCAATATATATACATATATATATATTGATATAAAATTATTTTAAACTGTCTATAAACTAGACAACTATTCAGCGAAATGTGCTTTCAAAACAATGATCTAACTTCCAACAGAAGGATTCTCAGCATATGAATATCTTTATAACCAAATCTTTCCTAACAATTAACAGTATCTTAATTATTGTGTTTAACATTGTGAAAAACGATGATTTTATCAAGAAAAACTTTATTGCATTACCAAAAAATATAGTAACTACAAAAATATAGTAAAAATATAGACTAAGTTTCATTAATATTTGTTTTATTTATGAATTTATTTTAATTTAAATTTAAACTTAGATTTTGCATTATATATCAGATTAAAACGTTTTACTGTAACTATCACTACGGATAATTGATTCGATTGATTACAGTTACGGTTATTTTATTCAGGGTGTAATGCCAGAGCTACAGAAGAAATGAGAGGCTGCCTAGATCGTCATCAGTATGAAAGGGACCAAGCACTTGGAGCCCGAGATGATGAGGATCGATTAAGAAAAGAATGCTGGTATATACTTGTCACTTTACACTTACCATAATATTAGGGGGACCGGAAAGTAATGTCGTTTTGGTGCATTTGATATTTGTTATCAAGATTTTATTTTTAATCAATAATGTATTCTTCCACGTTAGCAACAACCTTTCAACGCTGGATCGAAAATGAATCGAAATCGATCGGGAAAAAAAATGAATTGGTTTTTAAGACTAGCGAATATATAATGCTCCGAAACGACATTACTTTCCGGTCCCCCAAATATATTTGTGCTATCATGAAATAGTTCAAAGGAAAAGAAGCTGAAATTTTAGTTTTGTTACTTTGATAAAATTTATCATATATTGGTAGAATATTTTTTACGAACTAAATAATATAATAATTAAAAAGTAAAAATATTGACTGATTTCCTTAAAATAAAATTGTGCTGTTGCAGCGGTAATTTATTTTTAAATCCGATGAATAATTTGTGAGGAAGGCAGAAAAAAACCCATCAAAACCAATTGGGTTGCCAATCTAACAATCGCCTTGCAACTCCGGCCTTATTCCACTATCTATCTAGCAAATTTTCATGCTCAGTTTCGTCTTTTTCAGTAATGATTCGTTAGGCTTCAATAGTACTTTTCCTTTGTTTTTTTCTCCTTTTTTTTAAACATCTCTGAATGCGCGTATTTTTACATTATTTATATCGTGGAATTTAATGCTTTTATCAGTGTGATGTATGAGCTGATTAAATAATCGTGACATAAAAATTTATTTTTACTGTAACATGTTGCGCGATGGGTAATAATTCACTCGCCAAACGGGGAGACGTCTGGAAAAGACTTCTGGCGAAGGCCAAGGCCATAGCAAATCTGTAGTGCCACTAAAGAAAAAGAACAATAAAAAAATTTAATCCTGAAAGATATTAAAAGTTAAAGTAAACGCGACTTTCGTATAAAACTATTATTAGTGATTGCATTATTTAATCAAAAAACAAGAAAAAAAAGTGATTTTTGATCAACTCTAATAATTAAATTTGCACTTTTTAGCGCAACTTGGAATTACAGACGATGTTTGCAAAATGCAGTCAGAATCCACTGTTACGATACTCGAGAAGTGGATGTGCAATCTGCCATTGACGTTATTCCTCACGACAGGGGTTTTCTCTGCCGCAATCATTGGATCTACACCTGTTCTGGAGCAATTAATCATAGGTCATTGTCTAGTTGGGCCCATATATTATTATTTATTACAATATCTATATATGCGTCTGTCATGTATTAAACATATCTTCATAGATCTTGTACATAGTTTAATAAAGTTGTGTTTTTATATTTTGATAGATTTTTATTGGTTTCAGAAATTTATGTATTATGCACATATAGTCAGGAATACGATAGCGTGTCAAACTACATGGTATCAAATTTGGTGATATAGATATGATGATATTGTGTAAATAATATTATCTATATTCCAGATGAGACCTAAGTGAAAGAAAAATTGCATACCTTAAAATTCAAACTATTATAAAATTAAACAATAAATATTTACTAAAATATATTTTTTATATGAAATTACGTTTGGACAAACACATTTTATACTTATGTGCAAAAATGTTTCAACTCACTTAAAAAAATCCCGAGATACAGCGAAATACGCAAAAATAAAATTAACATTAAGGGATTCAAACTTTGAACAGCTCTCCTGATTCAACTATGGGGATTATATTTGCCAGATTGCGGCTGCCCCCTATATTTTGGGTGTCAAAAACTGCAAACTGCTGAAGAAAGGGTATGTTTATTCAACGAAACTACCTTGTTGCGTCTGATTTCGTAAATTAAAATATCGTATGCCCTAATTAATTAGCATAGTTGAGGTTCACCGCCCTTGGACCATTGAGAGTGAGTCCTATAACGTGAAGATCCTATTAGATCTAAAGTTATTTAGGGAGAACAGTTTTTTCTTGTTTGTTTTCTTAAATTTTGAATTTTTACCATAATAATCTCATTGATGTCGCAGACAAATTTGGATTAATGAAGATAGTGCTGCAGATTCACTTCATAAATTATGAATTTTTACTATATATAAATTTCATGAGCATTGTAAAAGTTCATTCCAAACTGAATTTTTTCAATAATAATCTCGTTGATGTCGCAAACAAATTTGGATTGCTGAAGATAGTGCTGCAGATTCATTTCAGATTCACTGCAGATTTACTTATTCCATAAATGCATTAAAAAAAATCTAGCTTTTAAAGTTTTTCCAATTTTATTGCAGCTATCCAGCGATTTCCTAGAACAATATATTACCTAATTTATTTACTCAATAAAGTTCTCGTCATGCATATTTTCTTGCAGTTTCTTAATATTTGATATTTCTTGTAAGAAAATTGTCTGTGCACATGCAATTTTTCGCAATATTTTTACAATTTTTCTATTCTAGGAAGTACATGTACTTCCTAGAATATTTCAAATTCGAAAAGAATTGAATGTATGTGTGAAATGAATGTATGTACAAATGTGGCTCTATGAGAACTTATTCCATAAATACATTGGTTAAAAATTTATTTTATAAAGCTTTCCAGACTTTATTGCAAATGTTCAGAAATTTCATAGAACAATTCAATACCTTGTTCACTTATATAATGAAATTCTAGTCATATATACCTTTTTGCAGTTACTTAATATTTGATATTTTTCTGGAAAAAAAACTTGCATGTGTACTTCCAAGTATATATGAAATTACAAAAGAATTCAATGCATATTGATTTATTCCATAAATGCATGGGTAGAAATTTAGTTTTTAAAGCTTTCCAGATAAAGCTTTGCAGCTGTTCAGCAATTTCATTGAACAATACAATACCTTATTTATTTATTTAATGAAATTCTCGTCATGTATTCTTTTTCGCAATTACTTAATATTTGATATTTCTTTAAAGAAAAAAAAATGTATGTGTACTTCTTAGTATATATGGATTTCCGAAAGAATTCAATGCATATTTATTTATTCCATAAATGCATGGGTATAAATTTAGTTTTTAAAGCTTTCCAGATTTTATTGCAGCTGCTCATCAATTTCATTGAACAATACAATACCTCGTTTATTTATTTAATGAAATTCTCGTCATGCATTCTTTTTCGAAATTACTTAATGTTTGATATTTCCTTGAAAAAAAATTGTATGTGTACTTCTTAGTATATATGAAATAACAAAAGGATTCAATGCATATTTATTTATTACATAAATGCATGCAAAATTTTGAATTGCAAAATACAAAATTTTTTTACATCACTTCAAAGAATCTAATTTTATATAGCAAAATATAATATTTGAGCAAAATCTGTCAAACTCTTACTGAGAAATCGCACTTTAAGAAATCATGTTATTAAAACTCTCATCATTATTCAGGGTAATCCTTTTATTTTTATGGGCACGGTACATTTTTTAAAACTTAACGTAACTAAATCTTAAGATTTTGGTATTGTTGCTAATATAAAAGGAACAAACAAAATCACGAAGAATGAAGGTACAAAACCATTCCAAGGCACATAAAAAGGCAACAATAGTACATGAAGAAAATATTTCCAACCAAATGAATGCATTGATTTTATGTATAAAGCTATCAACAATAATATGCAATACCTCAATAAATATCCTCCACTATTAAAAAATACTAAGAACAATAAAATTGCAACTAAATATTTAATTAATTTATTAGCACTGTGAGTCTTTTTTAAGGGCTTTCGTTTTCCGCTTGAAAGAGGATAACGTACTCTGTCGTAAGTCGTAAGTATGGCGTTCCTTGCTCCATCCCATTTATGTGGACCAATTAGACGATATTGGTATGGAACCGAAGGCCCAAAAATTAAAGCCTTGAATAGTTTTGGATCAGTAAAAAGAAGATTCCAGAAATTAGGTTTCACTCCTATCTCAACAGCTAGTTCGTCCAAATAATCTATGTAGTCTACTCGTATAGACATTTTATCGGATTGGACGTAACGTTTTACGTTTTCTTCATGTCGTTTTTCGATGCTTTGCATCATGATTTCTTTCGTCGGTAGCTTGCACTTTTCGCTGAATACTCTTGAAATCCAACGTAGTTGCATTTCGCCCAATGGGAATCCTGGCCCAAAGGGTAAGACTAGCGCCACTATAGCCAAGGTTGGGTGTTTCAATTTAGGAGGGTACACACACTTGTACAATTCTATTCTTCCATTTTTGTTTACGAAAATATCGTCTTCAAGGAAAGGAAATTCCAAATGGTAGCCAGTGGCCATTATGACTGCATCAATATCATAGACTTTCGAGTCATCTTCAAATGCAACACCACTGTCCGTAAAGTACTTAACATCTCTTTGGACAATAACGGATTTGGTTAAAATCCTGCTGGGGATTATGTCGTTAACAGAGGGATCTTTTGAAAGCACGCGATAGGTTGGTCTAATATTGTACAAATTATGATTGAATTTTCTATTTAGTTCTTTTTCTTCTAAAAACCGACTTCCCACATTGTGGCCAAGAAGGGTGAACAACGACCACCATATTCTTCTTAGATAACAGAAATCAAGTGGTAATCCATACGGACCAACTCTTGGTATAATCCATACCCCACTCCTGGTGCTGAGATAAACCTAAAAAAGTTTAATTTTGTGAATTTTTTAAATATTTCATTTTAAAAATGTTTCACTATTTATGAAATGTATGAAAAAAATTTAATTACTTAATGATACAGGAATGAGAAAAATAATTTGAAAAATGCATGACCAAAAATGAATAAAAAAAAATAAATAAAAATAAATAGTTTAAAATAAATATCAAAAATGTGTACTGTATGCCTTAAAAAAACGATTTCGGAAATCAGATTTCTTTTAAATCATTCGTTCAAATAAATATTTTCTTACTTTACATTTTAATACTTTCTCATCTCATCTTGTTTATGAATGACAAATTTTTGATAGATTCTCCTATATTCCTGTCTCAGTTTGCAAGAATTTTTCCTAGTCAAAAAGCGATTTTTTTTCATGCAGAAAAGGAATTTAAATTTTTCCACTTCTCAGGAACTATTCAACCAACATATGATATAGCATATGACATATTTTTTTAAATAAAAATTATGTCATATGCTATATCATAAATGTTATGTCAAAGTTATGTCATAAATTACGTCCTAATTTGCTTTCGTGAAGGACTTTTTGATGAAACTAAACCGCACTCGTGTTAAATGGAAAAGAAAACCACGAAAACGTTCCACGGTTACCCTGACGGCAAAGGTACTCAGAGGCTGTTTTTTTTAAATATTTTACAATCGGCTTTGAACAATCATCCCAATTCAGAATTTACGAGTATCAAGGTATCCATAGCCTGGATCATGAGTTAGAGTTATTGGCTAATTGAAAAATCACTCTGCCCACTATTTCAATACGTCTACCAGACTGCATCTTCATTTATAAAGCGCCCCTGCATTTCTTTGCATCAAAACTACAGGACTTACAGCAATGCAAAAAGTTTAACAAAAGACGTCAGCAATTTGCTAAGTGTCGAGTTTTCCAATTAGCCTACGACAAAAGCAAATCAAATTAGTATAAATGATTCCTAAATGAAATTATTAAAAAAAAGAGTAATTATTTTAAAAACTTTTTTTGTCTGAAATCACTTACAGCTTTGTGCAACCAAGTTTTATAATTAAGTGCATTTTTTATTTGTATAATTAGTTCCAGATATTTGAAGGAAACAAAGAAGTAGAAACAATAATTTTGACACCAATTTTTCATTTTTTTTTCTTCTATTGGAAACGTAATTACCTAAATTTGACCATCTCTCATGAGAGAGTCATCGAAAAATTACACTTTTGTGTCCGATTTCATTATTAATAGCTCATAATTAGCATAAGTTAATTAACTTTTTTGAAGAGTGTCTTTACTCTTATTTTTGCATCTTAGTTACCTAAAAAACCTATCATTAGATTAAAAGCTATTTCTGGTGACACCTTTCATTTAGCTCATTGTAAATTTAAGGACTTCAGTTGCATACTAGACCTTTAAATTATTATTCTAAAATAGATTCTAGAGCTTTCATATTTGACAAAATATACATATAAAATTTTACGACTTATCCATTCCGACAGAGAGCGTAACAAATTGCTATTTCATTATTAGTGCCATAGAGAAGCTTTATTAACTATGGTAATAAATACTACTGGTATTGCGGTAATAGGTAATAAATTCTGTGATAATAGGCACAAAATGTAAATATATAAGGTCAGTGTGCTTAATGTAGGTCAGTAGTTTCTATTCTATTTCAGCTCATTCCCTTCCCTTCTACTGTATCCACAATTTCATACCCCCTATGAAACTCAAAAAATATGTATGTACACAGCGTATTCAGTCCTATTAAGATTTTTTTGAACTTGTTTTAAAATGTAAACAACAAAGCGTTAATTTCAATTTTTTTATGTCTTTAGAGCTTATTATTTAATAAAAATAAACTTATTCACTGATAGTGTTTTCTGTAACAAGATTTGCACATTAAAGACTCAACTTCTGACTGGAATATCCATTTTTAAGAACATCGGAACTTACGCAACAGAAATAGTTTCTGATGGATTTCGTACCTAATCTAACACCTCATTAGAAAATTCAGTTGACTGATCATAAAGACTCGGTTCTCAGTAGAACATCGAAGTTGTTGGCTGTGGTCTGTAAGTGGGTAGGTGACCACCTTGATCAGGCTGCTCAATGACCGATAGTGCACGATATTGGTACTCGTTAAACTGTTCTACCGTAAATTGCTCGACTTTGCAAGCAGGTCGTTGATTTTGCACGCGAGTCGATATTCTGCAAAGGATAAAAATTGGGATTTCATATATTCGGATAGTTCACTGGGATGTTTCTTAAACCGTTGGCAATAGTCCATTGTGCAACTCTAGTGTGAAGAAAATAAAGTACCTACCAACCTAGAAAGTATTCCATTCTGAAGACGCTACGGTATTCGTAGCAGGAAACAAATGTTAAAATCTAAAATCATTCCATCTTTGAAATCATGAATTTCCTTCTTGGGGTAAATTCACTCCTGGATGGAAATCATTGATGGTATTAGATTATCACTGTGGTATTAAACTATTTTTAAACCTGAAACAGATAAGCACCAAGTTTCTTTTTCTCAAGAAAAAAGAGATTACCTGTTTAGACACGTTGCTAATATCAACAGCAGCATCTAATCCTGAACATCCAGCTCCAATAATCAGAACATTCTTCCCTTTAAAAATGTCAACATGTTTCAACTCGTGTGTGTGCATTTTTATTCCTTTAAATTCATCAAGTCCCGGATAGTGCGCCATTTTCGGATAGCCAAATTGACCAACCGCTACTATCACTCCATCAAACGTGTCTGTAACTATTTGTGATGTCTCCATGTTTTGAACTACAGCGCACCACTTACCAGTTTCATCGTAATCGTTAGAGCGAACTACTTTTAGAACTTTCCTTCTGCAGGTAACATGTCTGCAACAGTCAAAGTGTTCTGCGTATTGAAGAAATACTGTAAGCAGTTGAGAATGTTTCATGTAATTTGGAAGAGCTTTATCAGGCATCCAATCCGAGACGGCTCCCATTTCCTTGCTCTGATTGATTGTTGTCGTTGGCATTATGGATGGACTGCCAAGAGAAGCTTCATCCCTGTATCGCCAAGTACCGCCAATAGCATCAGATGCTTCATAGCATACGGGCTCAAGGCCTTCCTCTTTCAAACTTTTTATGGCTGTAATGCCAGCGAATCCGCCTCCTATTATCAAGATTCTTTTTTTGGTCGCCATTTTAAAAATCTACAAAGGGCAAAAATGTAAGAAAGATTAACTATAATGATTATAAATGAAACTGGATAAATTGGGTAACAAAAATTTCCAAATTGTATAAAATTAGCGTGTAGAAAATGCGTGTAGAATAGCGCGTAAGTTGTAAAAAATGTTAGAAATGAATTTCAGAATTTCCAATTCGCGATCGCAACGCTCGATAACGCCGTCTAGCGGGAGCCTGTAAATATCGGACATTAATTTATCACGTTTTCATTTAGTTCCATCAAAGTCATTGACTGAATCAGACGCCATTTTTTAGCAGCAAATAAGAAACAAAATTTCCCTAAGGAAAAGGCCGAAGAACTTGAAAAAAATCTCCAGAATATTAGTAAATCTTTCAGGAACAGAACACGCCAAACATTTGAAGAAAAATTCCTCAATAATTTTTAA